AGAGAGAGAGAGAGAGAGAGAGAGAGAGACAGAGAGACAGAGAGAGACAGAGAGAGACAGAGAGTTAGAGGGGAGGGGGGATAAAGGAGTATAAGTTTGTCTGGAAAAGTTGTCTAATCCACAAAACATTGCTACATTGATAAAGTAAACAAATCCATTGAAAATGTAAATTTCAATCTCCCCTCATTCTTAAAACAAGTTTAAAAAAAGTTCCGTTGTCACATGAAGTCAGACAGCCCAAAACCTATCCCCACAGAGAGCGGAGACCCCGTATGTGCGTAGAAGGTCAAGTAAGTTTCGGATGGAGGACTGAAGCTTACTTTTACCAAAAGAAGTGTCTTCCGAGACCAGGACGATCCTTGTCTCCCTAGACAGACAACTAAGCTAAGGCGACCAGGGAAATAAAGCGATGCGCATGCGCGATTCACCGGTACACACGGGGTGACGGGTTCCGGGTTAATTCGCATGATCTGAACAAACCGTTTATTCTGACTTGTGTTAATTTTATTTTTAATGCTTTCTTGGTGACCTAAAACTAAAACGGTGTACTGCAGACTTAGTGTGGTAATCAGTTTTATTAATGACCAAATTGTTGGCTTAAAAATAAAATGAACAAAATGTGCGTTATATAGATCTAGTGCAAGACTATAGACAAGAGTCTACCTGGCCACTGATTCTTAGGTTCATTTTGAAAATTTTCAGATAAATGTCCTGGAATCAAATCCTGCCAGATGTGAATTTTGATTTGCATTTTCTGATATGGTCTAATTTGTTTCCAGTGGGGGCATATTATGCAAAAACAAACAATTTTGATTCTTCACTGACGCATTTGATGCTAAAGAAATCCCCCAACAGTCGTCTAGGTAGATCTAGTTTAGTTTTAGTAGAGGTTTTACGGCGCTCGCAAACGCATAAGGTCAAATGAGCGCCAGGAGATAAGAAGTGTTACAAGAGAGTAACAAACACAAAAAAGAAGAAGGGAGATAAGGATGATAGATGTCTGATAGGAAAGAAGGAGCAAACCACACCAGAGCACCCACCAACCACGCACAATAGGTAGATCTAGGTCCTATTGGTTCCTGGGGCTTTATAATTAATAGAGCAAAACACCCAAGAAAGACTTTTTTCATCAGATTCGTGAAATTAAGGCACTAAAACAGTGGGTTATCTATACATGTATTTGCCCTGTAGCTCATTTGTTTCCAAAAGATACCCTTTTCTACTCTTCTACACAAATTCTAAAAGTAAGATACTTTAAACCAGCATAATTTTATCTCTGAACTAAAAAAGGGCACTTAAAGAGAATTTTGAAAATTCTGATGCTGGAATCTTTGAATAATATGATTTAACTCTATCCGTACGCCCTGGGGTCAATTTGTACCCACGGGGTTGTATTCTTCACATTAAAATTTTAGAATACTTTTAGTACGAGGATCTCTTTTAAACTTTCAGTATTTCTTAAAAAACCCCAGTTTGACAGACTGCTAAGCAAAGCGTACAGATCGGAATAACGAGTCAATTTTCTCCTTGGAAGTGGTGGCACAGAGTTCCCCACGTCATATGGATACGATAGTAAAACACGATGTACGAATATACGAATATGGTTTAAATACACAATATTATACAGTCCAATTAGTACCCTAGTCTCCCTAGACAGACTGTCTAGACATACGAGGATCATGGTTTCCCTAGCCTCTTCCTTTACCAAAAGAATATGTCTTTCCAAAACGTACCTGGTGTCATTCTGAGCGAGACTGTAGAGTCCAGTAATCACCCTCCCTTCCGGAACCTGGTAGTTCAGATCTTCTTCACAGCCGTTGAGCCATGGCGTGAGGTTGCAGTTTTTGGGACGTTTATCTAGGGGAGAAGAAGCAAAGAACCGCGCCATCATATTTTGCATTCTGAACTTTGGATACTTTTTGTTTTCATAAATCTATACTTTTGGTCTTGAACTTTTTGGTCAAAGTGTAGTTGGAACTCTTTCCCCATTTCGAGTGCGTTTGACTTAGTTTGGGGTGGAGGCGTGTGTGTGGGGTGTG